GGGGAGAGGATCCGGAGATGGGGAGGGCACTGGATCCCGGCAGGGGCTGAGGCTGCTCCGGATCCCCCCCTCTCCCTCCCCGTCTCCTACTCACCGAAAGCGCCGAAAACAGCAACAGTCCGCGGGGCCGCCATCACGGAGCCGGGCCTCGGGCTTCACTCCCTTCCCCTCCCGCTTCCCCTCCCCTTTCACCGCCCCCCGGGCCAGTCACCGCCCCCTTTCTCCTCCCCAATCCCTTCACTCTCCCTTTGCCCCCTTTCTCCTCTCCCTTTGCCCCCTTTCTCCTCCCCAATCCCTTCACTCTCCCTTCGCCCCCTCACTCCTCTCCCTTCACCCCCTCACTGCCCCCTTTCTCCTCCTCAACCCCTTCACTCTCCCTTTGCCCCCTTTCTCCTCCTCAATCCCTTCACTCTCCCTTTGCCCCCTCACTGCCCCCTTTCTCCTCCTCAATGCCTTCACTCTCCCTTTGCCCCCTTTCTCCTCTCCCTTTGCCCCCTTTCTCCTCCTCAATCCCTTCACTCTCCCTTCGCCCCCTCACTCCTCTCCCTTCATCCCCCCTTCACCACCCCCTCAATCCTCTCCCTTCGCCCCCTTCACCACCCCCTCAATCCTCTCCCCACCCCCTTTATTGCCTCCTCACTCCCTTCACTGCCCTCACTCCTCGCCCCCACTCCCTTCATTGCCTTCTCTTCCCCAGCTCCCCTCCCCCACCCACTTCACCACCCCTCTCCCCCCACCCCACACCTCTGTGTCCTCCCTTCACTGCCCCCTCACTCCTGCCCCTCCATCCCCTCCATTCTGTCCTCACTCACCCTCCAACTCCTCGCTCTCTTCACCGTGCCCTCTCACCATTTGCCACCTCTCTCCCACTCTTCCCTTCTCATGCACCCTTCCTCCCTGAAGCACCCACTTCCCCTCACACCTTTTCCACCTCCTCTTACCCTTTTTTTTCCACTTTCTGCCTTTGTCTTGCATTGCCATTTTTTCCTTGTTTTTTTCACCTCTCATTTACCACCTTGCCATCCCTTTCCCTGTTGTTGTCCTTATCCCATGTCACCTCACTGTCCCATCCTATCACCACCCTTGTTGCCTCCCCTTCAATTCCCTCACTGACACATCATCCATGACCCTTTTAGCACTTACCCTGTGCTTTGCTGTTCCAATTTATTAACTTGATCCTCCACTCTTCCCCTCCCGTTATGTTCCCCTTCTCTTTCCCATTTTTCTTCCCCCTCATTCTGTTCCCACTCGTATGTTTCTTTGCATCCGCTCACTTCCACCCACCCCTCTCTGTTTCCTGTCTTCATAACATTCCCTGCTGTTACCTTCCTCTAGATGCCTAATACCTCTAAACACCTTCCCCTCCACATGCATCCTCTTGCTGTTGTTCTCCCTCTTTGCCCACTTGCTGCTGGTTTCTTCCCCTTCGCTATTCTCTTCCCTTTAACTTATTCTTTCCCACTGTCCCTTCCCTTTGCAAGTCTTTTCCCTTTACCCTGACCTCATTCCACAAATCTCCCCCCACTTGAGGCATAGGAGCAGAAGTAAGCCATTCAGCCCATCAGTTCACTTCGCCATTTAATGAGATGGCTGATCTCAATCCTCCACTCCACTCACTTGCCTTTTCCCTATAACCTTTGATTCCCTTATGGAGCCTTGAATATACTTAGTGACCCAGCCTCATCAGCCCTCTGCGATAAAGAATTCCACAGATTCGCAACCCTCTGAGAGAAGAAATTCTTCCCAACCCTCAAATCCTCCAGTCCCGGCAAAATCCTTGTAAATCTTTTGTGGACTCTCTAAAGTTTAACAACATCATTCCTATAGAAGGACAACCAGAATTGTGCGTAGTATTCTAAAAGTGGCCTCACCAATATTCTGCATAGCCGCAACATGATGTCCCAACTCCTGTACTCGGTGTTCTGACCAATGAAGGCAAGCATGCCAATCACCTTCTTCACCACCCTGCCTACCTGTAACACCACTTTCAAGTAACTACACACTTGCACCCCTAGGTCTCTTTGTTCAGCAACACCCCCCAGGGTCCTACTATTAACTGTATAAGTCCTGCCCTGGTTTGCCTTACCAAAATGCAACACCTCACATTTATCTAAAACTCCATATGCCGCTCCTCAGCCCAACGGCCCATCTGATCAAGGTCCTGTTGTACTCTGAGATAATCTTCACCATCCACTACACCTATTTTAGTGTTATCTGAAAATTTACTAACCATACCTCCCATGTTCGTATCCAAGTCATTTATATAAATGACGAAAAGCAATAGAACTACCACCCAACCTTGTGGCACAGCACTGGTCATAGACCTGCCGTCCGAAAAACAATCCTCTACTACCACCCCCTGTTGCCTACTTTCAAGCAAGTTTTGTATCCAATTAGCTAGCTCCTCTGGGTCCCATGTGATCTAACCTTACTAATCAGTCTACCATATGAAAACTTGTCAAAGTTTGCGTAGACAACATCTATTGCTCTGCCTTCTTCAAGCTTCTTTGTCCCTTCTTCAAAAAACTCAGTCTTTAGTGAGACACAATTTCCCACACACAAAGCCATGTTGACTATCCTTAATCAGTCCTGTCTTTCCAAATGCATGTAAATCCTGTCCCTCAGAATCCCCTCCATCACTGACAACATACTCATTGATCTATAGTTCCCTGGCTTTTCATTTACAGCCTTTCTTAAACATTGGCACAACATTAGTCAACCTCCAGTCTTCCGGCACCACACCCATGGCTGTCGATGATACAAATATCTCAGCAAGTAGCCCAGCAATCTCTTCCCTGGCCTCCCACAAAGTTCTGGGAAACGCCTGATCAGGTCTAGGGGATTTATAAAAACTTTTATGTGTTTTAAGACCTTCAGCACCTCCTCTTCTGTAAGATGAACTCTTTTCAAGACATCACTATTTATTCCTTGACTCTCTTAATTTTGCTTGCACCACCTTCCACACTTTCATTCACTCTCCACAGTCTCACCTCACCATTTTGCCTGACTTTTTTCCACCTATTTTCCACTACATCTTCCTTTTTCCTTACCTTTGAGTGCCTGGTCCAATTATCCTGCACTTCAGCAAAAGACTGCACTTGGTTAGGACTTCAATATGCAAAGCATGAGAGATTGATGAATGAACATATATACATGCATATTTATAATAATTCAACAGATATTGCATCAATGAAAAATAATGGCCCCAATTTTTCCCTTTCTGAGACAAAGCATGGGGGGGCAGGTGTATAAGGTATCAACTAACTCACCATCACCACTGTCAAGAAATCTCACCGGATTGTGCATCTACCAGTTTGTTAAGAGCTGATCACCGAGCTTCAGCATGCTAATCGGCCTGTCACAGGCCTCAACAGTGGCATTCTGGCTCCCCAAGAGCTGCAGCCAATCAGATACTGCCTCCTAAAGATCATCGGTTAAGGCCTCCTCCTCAGGAGATCCAACGGCAAAAAAGTAGGACTTTTGCTTCCCACAGAGTAGGGGGTCACAAAAATGGAAGTGCAGAGGGATGACGAGGTCAGCTTTTGATTGGCCCTAGTTTGGGACAATTGGAGACCCAGCCCCTAATCTGATAGGCATATCAGAGATAGTAGGAACTGCAGATGCTGGAGAATCCGAGACAACAAGGTGCAGAGCTGGATGAACACAGCAGGCCAAGCAGCATCATAGGAGCAGAAAGGCTGATGTTTCGGGCCTAGACCCTTCATCAGAAATGGGGGAGGGGAAGGGGGTTCTGAAATAGATAGGGAGAGAGGGGGAGGTGGATAGAAGATGGATAGAGGAGAGGATAGGTGGAGAGGAAACAGACAGGTTGAAGAGGCGGGGATGGAGCCAGTAAAGGTGAGTGTTGGTGGGGAGGTATGGAGGAGATAGGTCAGTCCAGGGAGGACGGACAGGTCAAGGGGGCGGGATGAGGTTAGTAGGTAGGAGATGGGGGTGCGGCTTGAGGTGGGAGGAGGGGATAGGTGGGAGGAAGAACAGGTTAGGGAGGCGGGGACGAGCTGGACTGGTTTTGGGATGGTGTGGTGTCACGGACATATTATTGCGTGGACGGGGTGTGAACCAAAAAAGAATCCCCCTCGTCCTCACGTACCACCCCACCAACCTCCGGATCCAACGCATCATCCTCCGACACTTCCGCCATCTGCAATCCAACCCCACCACAAAAGACATCTTTCCCTCTCCACCCTTATCTGCTTTCCGGAGGGACCACTCTCTCCGTGACTCCCTTGTCCGCTCCACACTCCCCTCCAGCCCCACCACACCCGGCGCATTTCCCTGCAACCGCAGGAAGTGCTACACCTGTCCCCATACCTCCTCCCTCACCCCCATCCCAGGCCCCAAGAAGACTTTCCACATCAGGCAGATGTTCACCTGCACATCTGCTAATGTGGTATACTGCATCTGCTGTACCCGTTGTGGCCTCCTCTACATCGGGGAAACCAAGTGGAGGCTTGGGGACCGCTTTGCAGAGCACCTACGCTCGGTTCGCAATAAACAACTGCACCATTTCAACTCCCCCTCCCATTCCTCAGACGACATGTCCATCCTGGGCCTCCTGCAGTGCCACAACGATGCCACCCGAAGGTTGCAGGAACAGCAACTCATATTCCGCTTGGGAACCCTGCAGCCCAATGGTATCAATGTGGATTTCACAAGCTTCAAAATCTCCCCTCCCCCTATCGCATCCCAAAACCAGTCCAGCTCGTCCCCGCCTCCCTAACCTGTTCTTCCTCCCACCTATCCCCTCTTCCCACCTCAAGCCGCACCCCCATCTCCTACCGACTAACCTCATCCCGCCCCCTTGACCTGTCCGTCCTCCCTGGACTGACCTATCCCCTCCCTAACTCCCCACCTACACTCACCTTTACTGGCTCCATCCCTGCCTCTTTGACCTGTCTGTTTCCTCTCCACCTATCCTCTCCTCTATCCATCTTCTTTCCGCCTCCCCCTCTCTCCCTATTTATTTCAAAACCCCCTTCCCCTCCCCCATTTCTGATGAAGGGTCTAGGCCTGAAATGTCAGCCTTTCTGCTCCTATGATGCTGCTTGGCCTGCTGTGTTCATCCAGCTCTGCACCTTGTGGTAGGCATATCACCCTGGTTTACCCAGTTAGGAAACCAGCCACTTTTCTTACCTGCCGCATAATTAGTGGCAAGTTG